TTTATGTTGTAGACTAGCTTGCTTTATATAATATATGAGCAGGCGATGGCCTCATCCGCCGCCACGACTCGATTACCATATTCGTCCCTCGGGTAAGCTCTTCGGTCGTCACGGCGTCCGCTTTTATCGTCTATAAGCCTTACCGCACCCGGACGAGTGTCTGTTAATTCAATATAATATTATATGAGGATAATTCTTAACCAGCTCGTTGCGTGCATCGCCGCGTGTATTACCCTCTCGGAAAGCTTTTAAGCCAAAATTAATTTCGTACACCAGTATGTGACCAACGGGTACGGCGGTCCTTTATTTTCCCGTTTAAAGGGGTCGGGGAAGAAATGTATGATAAAGGTTACCGGTCCATACCTACATAAGCTATATGCGGTATTTTATTTTACCGGTTTTAGTTATCTGCACAGAAAACGTTTCAATACATTTTTAACCCATTCCGCGTGTACGCGTTTAGCGTTATACTATTTGAATACAAATATTAATTGCATTAACTCCATATTCTAATGATTCCAATGTCGTTTTTCTATAAAAACGAAAATAATTATAGAACATAAATATGACATAGAAGATATTATATTGTATCAGTTTATATCTTAATGCATGATAAGTTAATTATGAAAACAATATTGAAGTATTTTGCGAATAATGTTTCGGTTCAGAAAAATATGGATCAGATAATAACATAAACCCATTATGAATATGTTTTCAACTTGACTTTATCTCCCAGGGAAAATTATTTTTGAGGCAATTTTAAAGAGTTAAAAGCTAAGAATTAGATTTTGGTGAAGAGTCATTTTTAAAAACCAGACGGTTAGTATGGTGCATAAAAGACACTCGTCGAAAAACCAACGTAGTTTGTAAAATACAATTCACTTTAATCTGATGAAAGCATAATTTATATTGGTCTTATACAAATTGTATTATTTTTATAAATAAGAATTATAGTAGTCAGCTTTTTTAAATAGCACATTATTAGTATATTTATTGCCTTTAACAAACGATCAAATTATAAATGTAGACATAATAAATACGTATGTATGATTTTATTAAAAGCAATAAAACAAAATTAATTAAGTAGTATAAAATAAAAGTTAATATTACAAAAGTAAATGGAAATTATGAATTTGTTTAACATTTTACAAGGACGAAGAAATATTTTCCAAATTAATAAAACCATTCTAGGCTTGATACATTTCTTTATATACATACATTTTTAATTGTGCTCATTCCTTATAACGCAGTGCTGTTTTGGAAACGGCCACTGATTTAAAAACAATACTACATAAATATTAATAAAAAATGTTTTCAATGCGAATAAATGATAAGTGTTAGTAGTTAGTATACACAATGTAGTGAAAATAAATGTTATATCTAACATTAAAATCGAAATGTCAATATTGTTGTTGAATGAAAAAAAAAGATCTTTAAAAAATACTGATATACAATTTAAAATATTTATTAAATATTGCCATATAAAAATTATAAATGTAATTCGTTTTATCATCCAGACCTATGTCTGTTTTGAGCAAAATTTTTATATGCCATTTTACTGATGCGGTCAATTTATTAATAATGGTTTTATGTTGGTCATAAGTTATAAGTCTTGTGATCCTTTACTGAACTTAAATCCTTATACCTACTTGAACTATATTCGTAGTATATTCGAGTATAATATAAACGTATAAATACTATGGTCAATCCAGAAATTCTTTAATAACAACCGGCGGTGAAAGCCTAAGGGTCGGTCGCAAGCTTTATTAGGTTTGCTCTTCTGGGATTGTGATTCGACACAACACAAAAGGAATCAATCTTGTTTGCCCCTTTTTATTTCTCGTTATTCGAAAATACCCTTTCTTAAATGATGATGCGTTCGACTCCTACCCACATGTATTGTCTGTCTATATATAATATACGTATATGTAGATTTATATATTTTTATTCCTGAATTCAATTTCAGCTTTAATCCCCATCTTTCACTGACTGCGCCATATTCAATGATGCATCCAGTTTACAACGTTCTATTATATTTTACCGTGTTTCGCGAGTTAAGTCCTACACGAACGTTCAATATTATGGTAATGTCATTTTACAAATGCGCGTAATTAGTTACACGATTTTAGACTGGAGGACACTCAATGAGAGTAATTAATGTTTTTCAATATCGTTGATGCTTCTTCTTAATCAAAGGACCTTATTCACGGGTTTTGTTCCCTTGGACCTGGATCCATCATAAAATCCTCCGCAAGCGCAGATATATTATGTCGGATACATCGGTTGAAGTGGGTCTTTTGTATGTACCACTAACTACGTCGTCGAGGGTTCACCCCTGTCAAAATCTCCCTCGCCCTCGAGGCGACTCCCCATAGGGTTAATTAATACGTCTCTTTCCTCTCGTTCTATATTGGCCACCTAATAGTCGTTCGGCTGGGTGCCGTGTATACATGTTGATTTCCTAAGAGCCGTTCCCTTCTTTTTACTCTTTTTTTTGTGTATATATAATATTATATTGAATAATAGAACGAAAAAACGTGTATGGTAAAAAAAACCACTATTCAGAGAGTTGCTCTTGGAATGTCAATGTAAAAAAAAAAATATATCCTAGTCTAGAATGTCGATTTTAATTGGCTCTTAGTGCTGTGCGTTGTGTCCCCCTTTTTTATTTGTGCGTGATCGAATACACAGCCCTGCGGACGAATTAAAAACGCGCACATAAATAAGCTAAATCCTGCGCCTAAGGATTTGTTAGTAAAAAAAAAAAATAATAACTTAAACCCAAATGTTTGGCGACGCATCATGACATTTGTACAATGACAGCCATTGTACTGCTTTGCTATACAATATAGGGTTTTCATTTTTATCTGTTCTGCTGTATTATGTGTCTGCCATTCAATTTGTACTCGTTGGCTAATTAATTTAACAAAAAGCCGCCAGTACAGTGGGATCGGAGCATAGTGGGACGGGAAGGTCACAGGTTTACAGGAATTATTACAACTGAAAGTGATAAAATCACTTTCAAATAAACGCTTCGATACAAATCAGTAGTTAGTTTTTTCAAACCAGTAAAGTACAAACCAAGCACATTATGAACCAGAACAGTACGAATGCATTAAAGCGAGGTGCAGTGTTTAAAAATTAGCATCAAAGCATTTATTTTAAAGTGATTTTATCTGAGTAAGCCAGTACACTGGGGTCTAGACATAATGAGATCAAAGCACGTTGGGAAAGGAGAGGTCACAGGTCTACAGGAATTATTATTAATAAAAGTGATAAAACTGAATGGAAAAAAACTGTAGTCCCTATTTTTTTCATCGTTTAATATGTTACGGATACATATTAGGTCTGACTACTCGGCCAAAAAAACTTAAGAAAAAAAATAACATAAAACCTAAAACTGGTACTTAAGTACTAAAAACTTAATGAGATCACTCTAAATAGATGTACATGAAAATATTGTCATGATGTGATAATATTGTTTTAAAATTTAGCTTGTTTATGTTAAAATATACAAAATCTGCAAACAACACAATTTTCCGGCATTTATAAAAAACTGTAGCCACGATTTTTTTCATCGTTTAATATATTACGGATTACATATGAGTTCTGACTCCTAACAAATTTTCAACTAAAAGGTCCCAAAATTACCACTAAAAAAACCCAAAAAACTAGCATCCAGGAGGGTTGGGAAATGGGTAAAATTTAAATTTGAGACATACCAAATAAATATTCCTTATAAATTTCAACTCGATTCGACCCTTTTTCTCGAAATTATAGCCAGTAAAAGTTAAAACTTTAATACTAATATGGTTTTTTTTTTGTTTTTCCAAATTTTAACCGTGTGAAGAAGTGAACTTTTTCGACTTTTCGATTTTTGAAGAATAAAACTATTTATTACCTATACCTATATTGGTTCTACATTTGAACTTAAAGTACCTATATTTAAAAATTACCTTGATATTCCGTGGTTGATATTTGTATTTATATTATAAGTACTCTAGAATACATTTTATCTACTTCATTTCTGAAAATATTTTAGTTGTTATTACCCTTAATAATACTATACGTTTTGAAGTATTAAATGATTATACATTTACATTTATATATTGTAAAATAAAAATTAATAATTCCTATTCCTTTCAACCCTGCAATGTAATTTTTCTTATAAATAAACTCAAAATGGTTTGAATTGTACTATTTGTTTATATAATTTTTATTGTAGCTCACTCTCAATCCCCGAAAATATTTTCTAATTGCGCAATTAAGGGAATTACTTCCCTTTTTTTTTTTATTACTACATCTTTATTAATCACACCTATTATATACCACATACTGTTAGACTAATGTCTCACCTGAATAATATAACTTCCGTGGTCATAAATGAATAGTATTATAATAATTAAAACTTTATGATAATTAAAATTTAAATCTTACCTCGGAGAACGAGAAAATTATTATTTACAGCGTTTTTGTAATTAAAATATTTACACACTCTTGGTTCGTGCATTTTAAAATTGGTAAAATTATTAATACTGACAACTTAATGAACTAATGAAATTTAGTAAATGTTTTCAATTTGTTTTGCCTATCGAAATAACATAAATTCAGCTTAAATTGCTATTATATTGAAGTATGTTTTAGATAGCTAATAGTTAATATCTAGTTAATATTTAATATTCAACCAAATTATTCATTTCATTAGTTTTTTTATTTGTATGTCAATAAGCAAGGTAAAGTTCTACTTATATCCAATCATCAAAGTGTAAAATTAATACTTTAAAATTATTCTTAAAAAATGTTTTGCCGCTAACAGTTGTAATAACATTTTAATTATAGTTTTAAAAGTCATGTTTTGTTGTATGTGGGTAAAGATATGTAGATACACATATTATTTAGCACATGTGGGTAGTTTGAAAATTATTCAGTTTTAAAAATTATGAGAGTAAAATAAAGTAAATAGTTAATTATGTTTATAGTAATTGTTTTTATGTTTTTAGAACGTTTGGAAAAATTATCTGAAATAGAATATCAACAAAAGTTGAACGAATGGCTACAGAAAGAACAAGAACCCAAACAAACAAAGGAAAAAAAGAAAAAAAGGCCGGTCGAAAAAGAAAATAAACCAGGTACCACCATGTGTTTGATTATAAAAAATTTTTTTTACAGAAATTAACAAAGTAAAAATTGTATGTATTTTACCATAATAATAAGAATTTTTCATAATTTTAACACTTATAAACTACCTACAATTGTAAATACAAAATTAAAAATGATGAGTGTATATATATATATATGGGATTTTTAATTAAATATTTTCCAAAAAAAGATAAATAACTGGTAAAATGCAAAATGCTATTATAACAAGGTTCCAAGTAATATTATAGTAAATCGCCTATTTAAATATTTAGATTTACAAATTTTTGATTAATTAACACTTAAACTGTTCAGGTTATTGTGTAACTCCTAAAACATCACATGTTTTTATGCAAAAACATTAATACAACTGCATATTGTTTTTGAATAAGTTGGAAAAGTAAGAACTTGTAAATAAAAATTAAATACTAAAATATGGATTTATTTTTGCTATGATAAAATTAAATGGCAAAATTCTAGGCAGTATTTCAATCACATGTGTGCGAATTATGAGAGTGTGTTACCAGTAAAATAAAAATTAAATAGGAATTAAAATAGGAATGACTATGGAGCCTTTTATTTTAATATTTATTCCTCTACCTGTGTAGTAAGAATGGAAAGCCATATCTAGTTCGAAAACCCTAAACAGTTGCTTTGGCTCACTTTGTCTTGTATAATGTAGTCATATTCTAGAAAAACTGAAACCCATTTGAGGGTTTTAAATAGAAAAATTTACAAAATCCCTCGGCTTGAAAAGTAAACCCTAACAAAACAGGTCAGAGTTAAATAATATCCGAGTCCTACAAAAATTACATATATTATTATTTTTATTTGTAGTTCAAACGCTATCGTGAGTTAATTTGCTTTATAATTGTATATGTCTTTATTAAAAGTAAAGTAAACATAAATTATCATGTCGACCAGTATATTTTCTATTTAAAATGTATACAAATAAATAATTGTACATAATATTTATTCGGAAACTGCTAAAGCAACCTGTGTATGAACATCGCTGCCCTTGGGAGGAAGTTTCCTGACGGATTCGCTATCCGGAACGGGTCTTTAGATATATCTATACTTGAACATATTGTTGGGACGACTTTTTGTCGTTAAACGGCGGCGAAAAATAACGAGCTGTGCCGAGAGTGCTGACCGTTAAAAAAAGGGCGTATCCACGGCAACGGATACGGAAAGGCGTTGCTATTATCACGCTCACAGCCACTGGTATCCATAGCAACTGGACTTGGACACCTTCAGACTCACAGCGGTGTCGAGCCCTTCAGTTATATATATATATATATATATATATATATAAGTACACACGGGGAGCTACAAAAGCGCCTGGGGATGGATAACGTCGAGGAAAGCTGCTAAATTAAACAACCGCCGTTGTATTCCATTTCGATGATACCCATTTTTCACCCTATTTTCTCCCCTTTTCACCTTGCATTTCATTTACGATGACTGGCATGACTCAGATATATATATATATATGTATATACATATATATATATGTATCATGACGTTTTCACAGTCATCGCCGTTCAGTTTTGTAGGCTGAAATGTATAATGTATGAGCGTATCATTAAAATTGCCATCGCGATGAATTACAAATATATCTTTGAGAATTTTTTTCTCATACAAATAAAGTAATAAGAATATCCACGTCTTTAAAGGGTGTATTTTTATTAAAAAATGTTTCTTAAATTTTATTTTATTAAAATGTTTGCAATAAATAACATATAAACACACAGTAAATTTATATTTATATGTATTAATTTAAAAAATAACTAAATATATATCCCTTTACTCCTACAACTTTGTGAGTTGGCTTCAATTTTTCCAAGAAAAATGTAGATATAGATATGATATATTTAATATAGATATAGACATGTCTCTCTATTTGTCAAGTTAATAGCTATTATATAATAGTTAAAAGTTCCAAAGCCGGCGAATTTCTTTTTCTTCTGGTCAAAAAATTACAAAGATGATGTCTCATAATTTTAATTTTAAAAACTTTGAACTGGCTTGATTGTTTATTTATTTATTCATTTTTTTTTTTTAAGACTATACCAGCTGCACGAATTAAAATTAAATTATCACAGTTTATTTATGTTAACGTTTTGGCAAATTTCTGTTATACTTATTAAAATATAATGAAAATATGGAATTTTTCATTTCCTTCTAGTCGCCTTTGTCTTATTACTACATCATAATTGAAATAAATAAATTATTAATTATTTTGTTTTTTAAAAGTATAATTTATTATGTAAGGGCTATGAAAATGTTTAATTTTTAATTTAATATGCCAGTTATCTTTTCAACTCGATTACAATAAATTTGCAAATGTATTTGTAAATCTATTTGATGTCTCGTCAATATTAACATGAGCAATTATTTTGTAGCAAAAATCAAAACAAAGATCTATACTCTAAAGACCTATAAAAACTCAAAACCTTTTTAACGAATCGGAAATTAATGCAACTAAAACTGTATACTCTAAAGGTTGTTTTCGTGATGTTAAAATTGACATTTTGCGGTGTTGGTTTCTTATTCCTTTAATAAAACGTATCAAACATGTTAGGGAATGACTTTTATAAAATAAATAGCATTAAAAATGCATAAGTCAAAAGTATTACGTTCACTTACAGCAACGGTACAGTATGGAAAAGTTATTTATATCCGACACCCTCAAACAGGCCACAGCTAATGGTAGCTTTCAGTTTGAACGTGGGAAGTGTAAGTTTTTTAAATGTGTTGCTCGCACGTGCTGCATATATTGATGCCCACCTCACAACCATACTTCGGTGCTTAAATGTCTAGGGCTACATACGTAGTTAACCGTAGAAGTGCGGCCAATCTGATTTTTTTTCTCTTTTGTTATCAGACCAAGTTGAAGCGCCCGACTTACTTGTTTAAAATAAGTGTTCATGTATTAGGTGACGAATTTTGACCTATGTATGTATTATTATCGTGTTCTTCTCTGTGCAGTTTACTACCCGGGTCCTGAAAAATAGCTTCCTTGTCTATATAGTTATTTTTATAGTAATCACTCGTGTCTGAAATTGTTTGTATTTTATACCTTACACGTATACAAATATAATTTGTTTTACTTGTATCAATGTTAAAAACAATGCATTTTATTGTTAAATCAACGTAACTGGGCTTTTGTCCATCTTAATAAACATTGAAAAATTGCTATTTAAAGTACCGTACGAAAATCAAAGGTAATTCGAAAGATACACCGTGTACGACTTCGCAGTGTTATTATACTTAGTTCGGCCAATTTGTTCGTTGGACAATATTGTCTTAGTTTTCATAATAGAATGGTACACGTGCAGTGTGCAATAAACGTGGGCACTCAAAACTCGCCGAAACAAAGTGCTTGTAACCGGCCAAGTTAATCGGGTTCCTTCCATATAGTATTATTAACCCTTTTATTTCGCTTTGAATGCAAAACAAAAGACACTTAAATATATATATTTTTTCCCCTTTTAACAAAACACCTTGGTGCCGGCTGTGTTGCTTGCTGACGTGCCGCGGCTTTCTTTTGGCGCAATGAAAACATGATACGATTACGGTGTTCACATGCGGCTTATCGTTTTTCCCGCATCCTTTCCTTTAAAGCGTTTGCCGATCTCATATAAACGATAACAATAGAACTCAACAAAAACTCCAGATAGACGGTCAAATGCCCCACGCACTAACGTACACACATACATATTATTATACTTATGTAACAATAAGACATATGTACATTTGAAATATATAGTATTTATTTATATAAATGCTATATTTTTATTGTCCCGGCGGGTTCCCTAAACGCTACGGTGAAATAACCATTTCTCTTTCATCCGCGTTCTTATCAGATTTTCGTGTTAAGTATACAGGCACAATTGAATCGCCGAATCCATTAAACGTCGGCGACATTGTTTTTCTATCCCGATTATTCACCCGTATAATGTGAACTAATAAAACTGATGTTTGTAACACTATACAAATCCCAGCGACCGGGATCGTTGAATGAGTTTGAATGTTGCAAAACCGTCGTACAGTTAATAATGCATAAAGCGAACTGTTCTGCTAGACTCCAGCTAGAGAATTAGTATAAGCTATTGTAGTGTATACGGATACATATTAACTGTTTTTAAATAAATAATTGGTCAATCGTACGGTAAATATAACGTAGCTCGCTCACAAATGTCTAATGAATTCTAATACGAAAGTTTCTATTTAGTTAGAACGATTTAATTTGAAAAAATACGAATATTTCAATTATAAATATCAAGATTGAACGGACATAAAATACCTACATTGTTTGTCTGCTTTACAGTGAAAATGTGTTGTACTTAAGTTTTAACCGTTATATACAATAATAAATAATAATTTCGAGTTTGTTTACTTGTCTAACATTATTCCAATATTTTAAGCACAGAACATTAAATTCACCAAACTAACTTAAAACGATAGAGTTTAGTGTAATCACTTTTATTAAATTTAGCTTAAGTTGGTAATTTTTAGTTAATTTTTCTATTAAACAATGCATGAAAATTAAATAAATACATTTTTTAGTGTCAATATAGGTGAATAATATATATACTACATTACGTGTAAACTATTAATGTTTTTTATTGATACTTTATCGTCATAGCTTGTTGTTAATATAAACATAAATTTCACTACAGCAATGCAAATTGCTTATTGTCATAACAGCTATACCTAATATAAATATTATGTATTGGGTTCATTTATATTCTATCTCTAATTCGTTTTTATAATTATAATTTTTTAATTTAAACATTATGCACTATGTACTGACTAGTAAACTGTATCGTAAGGCAACTTATTTGAATGTGCTGTCCCCGCTGTATGTTTAGTTATTATTTTAAGTAAACTCTGTTTTTTTAAAACACAGTACAGAGTTTACGAGTATTCGCTACTAGTCTTTGTAATCCCAAACAAAATATTGCCGATTGAGACTTATCATACCTATGAATACCTATCATACCTATTATGTACACATATTCACGGCTTAATTTTTCTAGTCGAACTTTTGAATTGCAACATTTGTGCGTGAAAAAAAACGTTTTCGGCTGTTTCGCCAAACTTCATATTATCATATATTAGTATAGAAGTGTTCCAGTTTCGATTGATCCGTTCGTAATACTATATTAACGCGTTTTACAATTCTTCGCATTTTTCTTGAAGACGGTTTCGCCAACATTATAACATTCACGACGCACCTATTATATATATATATATATATATTATATTATATGTTTGGTTGTTTTCACTTTCCCTCGTCGGTCTCTGGTACTTTTTAAGTGTGAAACTCTGGAAACCGCTGCCGCCTGCCGGAGTGTATCCCTTGGCAACGGGCCTCGGCGGACGTGTCGTCGACCGGCGTCCAATAAAAAAGGCCGGGCCGGACGCGGAAGTCCGTCGGTAAAATGGCCGCGGCGATCGATTGCCGCCGGGGTTCGAGAGCGGACGCCAAGATCGACGCCCCGGCCGGCCCAGGTTTTACTGGCTTGCAGCCGCCGCCACTGCCGCCGCAGTCAGCTTTCGTCGGCTCGTGGTCTGTAGCGCAAGAGCGGTCGGCCATCGCACTTGATACCACTTGGTACTTTTCTCTCCTCACCCGTCCCCGGCTTCGCCATACCACACACCGCACCGTTTTATCCTGTCCCGTTTTGTTTCCTCCGCATCTTCTTTCCCATTACGCTCCTGCTTCGTAGTATCATCGCACGTGCCCGTTTCAATAAAAAAAAACCTCGGGTCGCAGGTTTACCCAAAATGATATAATAATACGCTTTGACCCGTCGCCCCCGGTGGACGGCTCGGGCTTGTGTACTTTGGCAATTTTGTGTAAAAAAAAAAAATTGCTGTTGCCTCTATAATTGATTTTTGTTTTGTCCAATTATTTGTTCCAACAATCTTTATTTCTTTAAATACTGGTTAAACGTGGTTTGTTTTTAACCGGCAATCATTCGATATTTTATGTAAGATCACTCATTGGTATTTTGTGTACGTTTAAAATATAGATAATTGGTATTTTTAAACATATAGGGGTTTGGAGATTATATTGGGTTACGATATTGCTATCGTACTATTACACATATTATTTAAATTTTTGAGTAAAATATAAAATTTAACCGGAATTAATTTTGATCTCCTGATTTTAATAATAATTTAATGTGATAATATTATAATATGTTACAGTTATCTGACTGTTTATTTATTTGAAATAAGAATGTTTTGTCTGACTCATTCACTCACTCGCTCACTCATTATCAAAATTATTAAACACTTTCCGTTTAGATAGAAACGTGAAATTTGGCACAAAGGCAGGTCTAAAAGTGTAACTAAAGGGAAAAATCTGAAAGTTGTAATTTTCTCAAAATTAATGCCGTTTTAGGGAGTGTAATTCTAAATGCATGATGTGATGCGCATGAATATTGCTTGAGTAGATTAGCACGGGTTTTTATTAATTAACCACAGATTCCTAAATCAAATTTACTCACTTGAGGAGTTACGTGCGTGATAGGAAGGAGATAACTCAGAAAAGGGTTCAGTTCCCCTCCCAAAAAACTCTCGCTCAAAGCCTTGCTAAAATGTCATTTTGTAAGTTAGTAAATTTCAAAAATTGAATTTAAAAAAATTGACATTGATCTTTTTCCCCGTGACCCTTCATATGTATGTGTAACATAGGGATAAAACAATAGTTATTACATGTATATAAAACGGTTTTAGTTTTTCAAATAAAGACTGATATACTTTAAACAATATAAATTATTTTAAATATAAAACAAAACTTTAATTGAACACGCTCTAACAAACAGACACAACAACAATATTGGTAAAATATTGTTTGTTTTTACTCCTTAATGTGTAATTGTACTCATTCCTAAAGATAGGCATTTTTATCAGTTGGATTACTATTACATCTAATATCCGTACATACAGGTAATATATATATTTTATTATCCAGAAAATTCACTAATTTTAAACTAAAAATATTCTGACACCGATTATCATGAATAATTTATTTTAAATGTTATTAAAATTTTGGATGCACGAAAAATTCGGTGAAATGCGGTAATTTCTATCTGCGCGCTTTACTCGATCGCACTACACTTCCCGTTTAGTATTTTAAACGTTAATAATTCTAAATATAATTATTCAAAACTTTAAGCTTTAAAAGTTAATACAGCTCTAGATCATAACAAAAAACATAAATATTTTTGAAAATTGTATAAAAACGCAAAATAACACTAAACAATTTCTCAACAGTTTCATCGCTGGCTACATCATTAATTTCGATTGCAAATTAGTAAGTACTAATATTAACCATCATAATTCATATGATATGGTATACTCGTACATTATACCGTGTAGTATTTAACCGCGTCTTAAAACACTCATAGGTCTACACAAACTAACTACACTTGTGGTATAGGTACTCCGGTTAGAAAATCTCATAAGTTAATTGGATACTCGAATTTATTTGTTTTGTATACAGCATTCAAGTTTAGAACTAAAAACGATAACTCAATTTTTTCATCGGTCGTGCTTGTTAAACGACAACAATAATAATTGTGCTTGTTAGTCGTCTTCGACATTATCATGTTCTCTTTTTACGCCATCTTTTTTTTCTACTGTGGTCTGTGTGGTGTATACAAAAAAAGTATTCGAGGAGTTTTTTTAATGACTCCAGCGAATGTTTGTCTCCGGAGGACGACCCCTCACAAAAGGATTTTCTGAGCCCTCTTCACAGTTTGTCGTTATTAAAAATAATAGGGGAAGTAAACGCGATTAATAATAACCCCACCGGCCGTGTGCGTATTATGCCCGAGATAAGTTTGAATCCGTTTACGGCGGAAAACGTAAATAATATCATCTGAATGTTTTGTATTATATTAAAAAATAATAATTCGGTGGACCGCGTTTTAATAAAATTCGAAGGCTAACAATAAAATAGGGTTTGCCAAACGATACATGATGTATTATGAAATGGTTGCAAACAGTACAGCGTCGTTGTTTTGGCTATGTTTCTAGATGTTAAGTCGACGCCGGTCAAAAGTGACAAGTGTACGACGATCGATATTACCGACGACGATTCGGACGACGAGATGGCTATATTCAAACAGCCGGAGAAAAAAAGAAAAATGACGAAGGAACCAGAAATTAAAATGGTACGTTTAGTCGTCGGGTGTATATAAATATAATTGCGCAAAACAAAACACGTTCTTTAGATGTGCAATATTGTGATTTGTTCGTTTAGGATGTATCCGATTCGGGTAAACTGAACGACTCGATCATGACCAACGACAGTAGTGCCAACAACAGTCTGATGACCGAAGACGAGGATGGTGAAAATCAAGCGCAGAAAAACATGCCGCCCAGAAAAACCAAGTGAGAATATAAATAATAATAATAACGATGTTACTGTGAAGCTAGGCTCCTCATACAACGTTCATGCGTGCAAATTTGTGTGTAAAAAAAAATGAACATAAATCTTTCGTTAGGCCCAAGATTCCGGTGATATTTTTCTGCACGAGGACCCACAAGCAGATATCGCAAATCGTTAAAGAATTAAAAAGAACTAACTTTAATGACGTGAAGTGAGTTGTAGAATCTGTAAGTGGTTTACCAACGGATTCCTAACGATTCCGCTTATTCAGGAGTTGCGTGTTAGCCAGTCGCGAGCACACGTGCATTCAGGACATCAACATTTTGGCGCCAGAAATCAAATTCAAAACTAAGACCGAAATGTGTAGAGAACTGCTGGATCCAAAAGCGGTAAGTGTCTATTCGTCGCCGTTTCTCTATTCACGTTTCACTGTACAGTGTACACATCTCCGTGGCTTCACGGCCATAACTCTAACCGCCGTGAGCGCTCGCTTATGCGCTAAGGGAAGTAAAAGTTTAGTCGTTTGCTTCGATTCTTAATCTTAATCGTTTTGTTTATTTCAGAGGAATAGAAATTCGTTGAAATATAGAATATCGGTCGACAAATGTAGTTTTCACGACAACGGCGGATTGAAATTAGGCACTTACAACCAGTTGAGTGCGCACGGACTGTCTTCGGTGTGGGATGTCGAAGAACTAGTCGAAATGGGCAAAAAGCGGGTTTCGTGTCCGTATTACGGTTCGCGTTTGCTGATGAAAAACGCCGACATTGTTTTCTGCCCTTACAACTATGTCATCGACCCGATCATCAGGGGCACGGTAAGTACTCCAAATTTGTCTATCGTACTTAATCGTAGGTCGAAGTCTACGGGTCCAGGGTGTTGTGTAATGAAGGAAAGACGTTCGCGTCGGCGAATATGTGCCTTTACCTTAAATACTCCATCCGTTAAACAACGGCTGGTTGTAAAACATACAAAAACTGGTTTCAAGACATATTGTCGTGTTATACCTATGTCGTCGAAATTGATCAAAAAGTGAATGTATTATAATATACCTAAATTCACTGCAAATTCGTATTCGAATGATTTGTTCACAATTTATTGGAATAATAAATAATTATACTATTCAGTGCCGTAGCTACCGTGGGCGCATGAGGAACAGCTGCCCCTGGGCGCATTCTTATTTAGGGCGTTTTTGTACGCTTTACTATACACGTTAACGTGTAACATAGGGCGCAAAAAAATGACTTGCTCCTGGGCGCTTTAGTCTCTAGTTACGCCACTGATACTATTGTATTATAAATTATTAGTAAAACATACAAATGTGCATACATGTTTATACGTATATTTTGTAAGTAATATAAATATTATAATATTTTATGTATACGAAATGATGTTTTAAACAAAAATTACTTGAAAATCGCACTTGGAGATCGTTCAAATAATTTCCAAGTTAAGTTGTAAGTTCGGATAAGTTACAACTTTTTGTCTACATTATGATGTATAAACGGATCTAGACTTTGTACTTCATATCAATGCAACGGCCATTTTTGTCCACAGTTAGGACTGAATCTCCAAGGGCACGTGCTCATCGTGGACGAAGCTCACAACATCGAGGACCAGTGCCGGGACGCGGCCAGCCTGCAGTTGGACCAGACCAATTTGAACTTGGCGAAAATGGACTGCGAGAAAATGTCCGAACTGGGATCGAACTCGGTGGAGTTCGCGGCAATCGTGAGGCTTGTCTAACGTTGTTGCCATCTGTGTCTGGCATGTGTTTCTCATCCGGAATGTTTTGCAGGCCCAATATCTGTCCGACCTGTCTGTGTGGACGGACAAAAAGTCTGCCGGCATCAAGTCGTACGACGACTACAACCGGGGCGTTATCTCCTGGTCGGGCGTGTACACCGTGGCCAGTTTCAACGAGTACGGTTTGGGTCTGGACAAGTTCGAATCGTTCAAAGTAAGTGCGCCGACTTGTCTGACGTCGTCAGTGTTTGTGTGATGTTTATAATTGCCGCGTTGTCGTCGCGTATAGAAAAACTGTAGCTTGGCCGTGGCTCAAGAAACGGAAGAGGAAACCGATGCGGAGAAACAACCGCAGACGCCGGACGAGCAGCCACCGAAAACGCCGGACGAGCAGCAACAAAATACACCGGACAAGTCGGAAGGTCGAAAAGGCAAAGAAGAAGACTCTCAAATCAGCAACGCCACCAAACAGTTGTTGACGTCGGTTTGCACGGTCTTCGATTTTTTGTTTGACGATAAATACAAAAACGATTATCACGTGTCGCTGGAGAAAGTCATGCACGTTAAAAAGTTCGAACACGGCGAACGGGTAAGCGCAAGACTTATGTATGTATTTTAATTGAACTGCCGTTAACGGACACTTTTCATCGAAATTCCCTGTGACTTCTGGAGTACCTCGAGGAGGTGATCTATCCCCTGCATTATTCTCACTATTCCTGATTGATATTGATAATTGCTTTACACACTGTAAAGTTAAACTCTTTCCAGATGATCTTAAAATATATTACATACTATTTCCTGCCTTAAAGACTGCTCCGTATTACAAGATGAATTGGACGCATTTTTAAAATGGTCTTAGTCTAAACGTTTCAAAGTGCTCTACAATCTCTTTTTTCCGTATTAAAAATAAAATCGCATTTGGTCATCCCATAGGAAATATCCACCTGCCCGAGCTTGATACCATACCGAGACCTTGGGGTAACTTTTCAGTCTAATCTTTTTTTCACATCTCATATAGAACAAATAAGCCTAAAGGCAATAAAAACATTGGGTTTTCTATTTAGATCGACCAAATCTTTCCAAAGTGAAAAATGCCCAACCGTTCTTTATCGTTCTCTAGTCCGCACAGTACTAGAATATGGATCCACTTTACGGAATCCTTATACTATCAATAGTATCGAGAGACTTGAAAGAATACAAAGAAGATTCATTCGCTACATCGGATACAAAAGAAACATAACTAATACCCTCGGTAATCCTTCCATAGACAGTATCCAGATTGATCTTCAACTTGATTCTCTTTTGACCCGTCGCAAAATAGCTGATATATCTTTCCTACAGAAATTATTAAACGGAATCATTTCCTGTCCCCCACTTTTAGAACAGATTTCCTTCCACGTACCTCAGTATTTTTCCATATCTTGTCCAACATTTCATATAAAAACCCACCGCACAAATTACGGTCAACACAACCCTTTAAATCGGATCTGTACCGAAGGCAACTTATCTAACTTTGTTTTTTCCTCTAATAGTCTGTCAGACCTGAAGCATTATTATTCCAATTTTTAATTGTAAATAAAAATCTGATTTTCAACTTGCACTATTATTATATTGTTCGTTACTTATATTTTTATATCTCACACATGTGATCATACTAATGTAATTTACTAATTATGTACCTGTACTTGAGCCTTCCAGACGTTAATTCAATAAATTCAATTTAAATTACATTACCTAATCATATATCATAGCGTGGATACTTTGTGTAGGTTATAGCGGTTCGACGAGAGTTGGACTATATAAAAAATATTCTACCTTTAATTATCAAGCTTGTTTATATCATATACCCGAGAAAAATAATACCTCGGTAAATGTTTTTAAACCTTTGGGAATTTAGGAATTATGCAAGATAATTTTCCGTTTCCTCGAGTTTCGTATGAAATAAATATGACGGGGTTTTTTTTTTTTTTTAAAGCAGCGTTTCTCTCTTTGAGTTCCTCGCCGGTCTGTTTCAGACAGTTTTTGTTTGGGTAACTTCCTTCTGGTTTGACGTAAATACAATTTGTACGTCGCGTCAAAAGCAAAACAGCTATCTCAAACTTTTTCTAAACGTATAAGCGTTTTTTTTAATAAACGCTCTTCAATATCGCGAACAAACATATATTTCACTGTCGGTTCGAGGTCAGCTCTATTACTTAGTGTACGGATTTACTCAAACAAACAGCTTAGTAGATTTATTCAAAACTTGTTTTTTTTTTTTAATTAATTTTTTCTGATCTATCGTTAGAATAATGTGTTATGTAAGTACATCGGAATTCTTCGCAACTAAATGAGGAATAAGTTAAAAATATTTTGTACCCCTAAAAATAATATTTTAGGGTACATATTAAGGGTATATAATATTAATATATTATATACTATTAAGGGTATATATATATATATATCAATGTTTTCGCAAATTTTACATTCTAAGGCCTAAATTAGTTGGATAGTAGTTTTTTTTGTAAAAAAAAAAAACAATATTGGTTTATTCCTCTTTTTCTAATGATGATTTTGTATACAAGCAACATTTGTTTAAAATTGATATTTATATCTTAAAAAAATTAAAAACTAAAAAAAAAATCATTTTTTTGGAAAACCGATGCTTTGCAACCTCTAAAAATAATTGAAAAAATTTGAAAAAAATAGGAAAATATTATTTTACCCCGAGGAACATAATGTTAAGAGAAGAACAAAAAAAAAACAAAAAAAAATGTTTTTTGGTACACCCTAATATATATGTTTTTTTTCTGAACACAGCCCGTCACCGTCGACGGTTGGATCACGTCGAACTCGAAAGACAGCAAAAAGGACTCGCGCGCCGTCTGGGTGAACACCGTCAGCTTCTTGTGCCTAAATCCGGCGGCGGTATTCCAGGACCTCAAGGTGTCCCTGCGCAGCATAATCCTCACGTCGGGCACGCTGTCGCCAATGGACTCATTCCAGTCGGAACTGGGCACACAATTCCCGATCGCGCTGGAAGCCAACCACGTGATCAAGGCCGACCAGTGTTGGGTGGGCTCGGTGAGCGCCGGGCCGAACCGGGTCGACCTGAACGGCCAACACCAGAACACCAACACGTACGGGTTCCAAGACGAAATGGGCCTGGTGTTGAAGAAGGTGTGCGAGACCGTGCCGTTCGGCGTGCTGTGCTTCATGCCGTCGTACAATCTCATGGAGAAGCTGTACGAGCGGTGGCAGCTGACCGGCATGCTGGGCGAGATCAACCGCATAAAGACGGTGCTGTGCGAGCCCCGCCGAGGCGACGAACTCGAACACCTCATGTACAGGTATTACAACGCCATCAAAACGGCCGAACAAGGCAAAAGTCGCGGCGGTCAGACCGGAGCGGTTTTCCTGGCCGTTTACCGAGGCAAGATAAGCGAGGGGTTGGACTTTTCCGACAACAACGCTAGAGCCGTTGTGGCGGTAAGATGTATTACATAATATTATATCATAATATCACACCGCCTCTGCCCTTTACCCACTGCTCCATCCTTAACCCCCGGAATATTGACAACGGTGCTTAAAATCAATTTTGTTATGACATATTATGTTCAGGTGGGAATACCGTTCCCGAATTACAAGGAGGTGTCGGTACATCACAAAAAGGAATACAACAACAAATATCACAAGGAAAAAGGACTGTTGGACGGTTGGCAGTGGTACCAGATTCAGGCGTACCGGGCTCTGAACCAGGCGCTCGGTCGGTGCATCAGGCACAAAAACGATTGGGGCGCCATACTGTTGGTGGACAGTAGATATGCCGAGCAAAGACGCACTGCCGGTCTATCCAAATGGATCAGAGGAAGGGTAATAATAATTGTTGTTGGTTTGGCATCGCTGGTCGTACTTTTGTGTTAAAATGCAATTATTGATTTCAATAGGTAGAACGTCCGGATTCTTGGTCTACAGTCCAAGATAGACTAAGGTTCTTCGTCGAGTCGAGACAAAATGAAGTTTAATTTATGTTGTTATTAATTTTTCCCCCCCCCCCTCTACCATCACCAGAATACAACGTGTTTTTTTTTTATTTTTCATTTTCGTTTGTTAATTTTTTTACTTTAATAAAATAATGAGTTATATTATGTATATATAATAACTAGGTACTTAAAATATTCTATGCGAGGCTTGACAAGTCGACTAATTTTAATTTCCTCCGAAAAAAAACCGCCTCTAATTTCATAATTGTTATTTTTATTATTGTTTGTAAGCGTCAGTTATAATAATCAGAATAAAAAATAATATCGAGATGTTTCATTTGAAACTAAATTTGTTCGACTATTGTATTAAAAAAGGAATATTAATTATTGTTATTTGCATATTCAGTTTACAGCTATCACTTATCTGATTATTTTATATATTTATTTTAATAATATTTAATAAGTACTTCAGTTGATTATGTTTTAATAATGCATTCAGTGATCGTGAAATAAAATGAAACGTATGAGACATTTGATCTTAGACTTTGCATGTTTTGGATGCCGTCCTAACTAACGCCCGTCAAAGTAATGGGACTTTTTCGAATATACTTAATTTCATTTTTTGGCACAATATGTTGTGTTCAAATTTTTTTGGCTCAAAACTTTGTGTTGTGTTGACGGAAACGACGGGCTCGTCTTGAATATCCTAAGTTGGCTCTGTCATAGGTTGAGATTGCAATAGTTATCGGAAAAAATACTATTTTATATTTTAAAGCAGACCTAAACGATAGGCGTTACTAAGTATCGCACCGGTATTTACCAAATAGGCAATCATCGTTAATTTAGTAATTAGGTAACCGTTACCGATAAATAGGAAACGTTGACACTGTAGTAACATTAAGAAAAAAAATTTCAACATTTATTACATAATATATAATCATTTCATAAATTCAGTACAAAAAATACAATTAATGTATGTCATAATAAACAAACAAAAAAAAGACATTAAGTTGTCGGTGGACGGTTAACAAATATTATAATACAATGGTGTTTGTTCGCGGATGCGTTTAAGTCCAATGGTTGGAAGACTTGGGTGGGGAGGGTATAATAGAGAGCTAAATGGGCAACATAAATAATCAATATTTAATCACTATTTAGACGCGTAATTAGAAAATAATAAAAATATAATTCACAAATAAATAGATTTATACAATTTCTAATTGAAAAATAAAAATGTGTTCGATTATAGTTCGGTTGAAATATTATTGCAAATTCCACTAGATTGCCATTAATTTGAATCGACGCTCTGAAAAATAAAATAATAATTGAATTAATAATATTTAAATTGTGTTTACATTTTCATTACAAAAATTTAGCGCAGTCCTGACCAGTTTCGTATGTATGTACAGTTCAGTCTACAATTTTAGTATTGTTTAACTAAACTTATTTTTCAAGCTAAACCGATGACGACGGCCATTGGTCAGTTATGTTAAATACACATAACTAATAACTTCTTTTTAGAATATGGCAAATTGAAGAGGTTCATCATAATAAGGAAGTAAAATGTAAAAAGTCAATTTTTAACATTTTCAAGAAGAACATAATATATAAAGTTGGGAAATTTTTTTATAAAATATAACACTACGACAGCAAATGAAATTTTGAAAAATAGACTTTTTCTTTACATCACTATTTTAGAGTTTTTGAAAGCATTCAATATCACTTTTTATTAAAAGATAAGTTGCTAGATAATTCGATTGTGCCTATTTTGGGTGCTCTGAACAACCAAAAACTGAATTATAAACGAAAATTATACGTGTTTGGCAAACTAACCTAATTGGAAAATTAAAGTCTATCCCAATGAAACCTCGCTAAAAGCGACAAAATATACATAGGACTTATTTTGACATTTAAATTGGTTATGATATCAGATGATTCATCTCATTAAACAGATTTTGTTAGTTTAACAAGAACTCACTTTTTGTTGTTGTAAAACGCTAGTGTTTCTTGTTCCCTGATTGGCCAGGAACGTGTTAACAGAATCGTCACTGTCTCCATCATCGTCATCGCTGTCCGATTGGAATTCGTCATCATCTTCCAGGTCACCCGTCATGGCGGCCTGCAAGTCGTCAATTCGCTGCAGCGCCAAAGCCAGATCCGCCTTGACGGTGGACACTTCCGCCTCGGCTTGTTCCGCCCGTTTTTCCAAAGCTCTCTTTCTGTTGGAGTCGGCCGATTCTTTTGTCTCCCGCTCAGCCATCGACTCCCGGGCTTCCCTCAGGGATCTCTGCATTTTACGCACAGTCTCCAGGGCCGCATTTTCCTTGCTCTGGGCCGCCTCTCGTTCGCTCTCCAGTCTTTCGGCCGCCTCTTTCAACCTGGCTATTTGCACCTCCAACCTGGCACGAGTGGTCTGTTCCAGCTGCAGTTTCGACTCAAATTCGGTGACCCGCAACTGCAAGCGTTTTAGGTTCAACGAGCCCGCCGGGTCACCGTGGGTCTCCATATTGCCCAACCGGAAAGTGAGCTCGGCCAAACGCTCTTGCAGGTTGCCCTTGTCCGTTTCCAGCTCGGCTATGCGGCTCGCTTGTTCTTGCTGCGTAGCTTGTTCCGCGCTCAACTGGTGAACCGTGCCCCTGTATTTCTTCAGAACCTCGGCCAGTTCCTCCTCGTTCTCGTCTAGTTGACTCTGCAGATGGTTCTTGTCCCGAGCCAGAGTGGCAGCTCGTTCTTCAGCGATACGTTTGGCCGATTGCACTTCGTCCAACGTTGCTGTCACTTCGGCCAAATCTGTTTCGGTCATCAGCCTTGCTTTGATGGCCGAATCCCTGGCGCTTTCCGCGTCCTCTAGTTGGTTCCGCAGTTGCCGCATGGCTATCCTGTTTGCCTGACTGTCGGTACGTTGTTCCTGCACGGTCTGAGCGTCCCTCAACAGGGCTTTGAGCTTCTTTAAGTCCCTCCTCAAACGGGCTATGCATTCTTGGTCATTCATGCTTCGGCAGCGTTCTCTGTCCTCTGCGTCCACCAGGCGCCTCTCCAGGTCGTGACGTTCTCTTATTAAGGCAGTGCGTTCTTCGTGTTCGTTTTCGATTTCGCATTCCAACGCTTTGATTTTTTTGGCTGCCGAGCAACGGGTCTCTTCGTTTTCCTGCTCACGCTGCGCTAGCTCTCTCCTGTGCTCCTTCCGTTCCTGTTCCAGTCCCATTTCCAGACGAGTTTTTACTTGTTCCAATAACTGCACTTGTCCTGCTAGATCGTCCAATTCTTCTTCTTGGTCCTTGAGCTTGCTCTCCAGTTGATGTTTGGACCGTTTGAGAGCGGCCACTTCTTCTTCAGTGTTACCGCTAAACGTTAACTCTTGTAGCTCGCGATTCAAACCAGTCACTTTCTGTTCTTTGAGCTCCAGCTCTAACTTGGCGCTCTAAAAACGAACACACATACGTTAACTAAAACTTCAACACAAATATGTTAATATAAATGTATAACTTACACTAAGATTTTGTTCCATTGCAAACTTGTCGGATATGGCCATGTCTTTTTCTCTCGTAATTTTTTCTCTTTGAGCTTTTTCTTTTTTGAGTTCCTCTTGTAACAAATGGAGTTCGGTATCGAATCTAAAAAAGTAATTTTTTTTATTAATACCAAATATAAGAGTTCCTTTGGCCGAACGTGGCGTAAAAAATTTGAAATTTTAACAGCCATAATTAATTGTCGGCGCTTACTTTTTTTGTTTCTTTTCGAGCAAATTGTTTCTGGAATTACTCTCTTCTAACATGAGTTTGAGGTCGTTAGATTCGGAGTTCAGTTTGTTGACTTTACGTTTCCATTGAGCGACAATTTGACGTTGTTCTTCTACGTCTTCGTACACGCCGGCCAACTATCGAGACGGCGGCGTTATATTTTTTATTTCAAGAAAATGTATTTAGTATTTTTTTTTCATACTGACCTTTTTCTCCAGTTGTTTCTTCATGGCCATTAGTTGTTCCATGTCGTCATTGTGCTGCTGGTGCAACCGCTTCTTGGCGTAGTCTAACTCCCGGCACACTCTTTCGTACCTCCGCCTGTAATACTGGTCACCTTTGTCGCTGTTGGCCACGGCACTGTCGTCGTCACTCATGGTGCCGGCCACCGACGACGAAGACGACATCAGCGATGGATCGGTGGATCTCATGCACAGCAGTTGCATCTCCAGCTGCTCGTTGGTTTCGGCCAGTCGAGTTTTGACAGCCTGCACCTCTTGCAGCTCCTTCTCCAGTCTCTGCCGTTCGGCCGATTCGAACTCCAGCCGCTCGGACACCATCGTCACCGTGGAATGTTCTTCGGCCAGATCGGCTGTGGTCTCGGCCAACTGTAAAAAACAAACAATGCACACGGTACGTTTTAAAACTAGTTTCTCCACGCTCGCCGGAAACGGTCAGTAAGGACCTTGTTGTTAGCTTTGAGGAGCTCGATGAGTTTCGCGTTGAACTCCCTCTGTTCGGCGGCCGACGACGAATGACAAGACCGGTAGGACATGGGCGATAGGGAACGGGAGACGGACCGCGACGGCGTAACGCCGTAACGTCTCCTCATCAACGCCGGCGTGTACATGGTCAACGGGGATGAATGTTGAAACGCGTAGAGAACGAGTCGAACGCGGACTTGGAACGAGAAAGCGCACACGCGATGCCCGTAAGCAGCAATGAATGTCTGAGGAAGTGTCAGGCGACTGAATGGGCCGAGTGAATTTTCGCGTCAATTGTTGTTAACCGGAGTCCCGCATTTAAAAATATCGGTCGCTTATAAATAGACGGGCTGCCTGGGCGCGAGGAAATTAAACGTACGTTGGCCGCCGACCAATGATCATATGCTCTAACGGCTTAAATGCTAAAACTACCGGTGGCTAAGTGAACAGTGATGTTTTCTACTTACTCTCTGCTCGAGCCTTTCGTTATCATTTTTCAACTGTGACCGCTCTTGTTCCAGCTTATCCACCCTGGCTCTCAATTGATCCAGTTCGTCCTGTAAACGCGCAAAGACACATTAGTTATGATTATGTCTAAGATTTAATATTAATTACCATTATATTTATTTTGTTAGAATTGTCTAATGTTTTAAACAAATACCGATAGAGGGTCTAGACAAGTCTAATGTAAAGACATGTAGATGTGTGGAGTGATTAAAAATTGAAACTTGATGGATTAATGAAGAGAAGATTTGGCTGACCTTTCTCATAAAGACGAAAAACCAGAAGAGGTTGGACTTATTTACTTCTGTCTAGGCTGGCTAGCTAAAATATAGTTTGGAAAAATTAAAAAACCTAACATAACTGTTCAGCTAAATTTTTTGTCTTGTCGATAACAAGTTTTCCAAAATTACTGGATTAACAACTAGAAATTGAGAAGTAACTATTCTAAACTAGTCAAATTGGTCAGTAGTTTATATTGTTGCAAATTTTAATAATTAAGTTAAATAATTAGTTAACTAATAATTGTTAATTAAAAAACGAAATTAAATTCAAATACTTTTGCTTTAATAATTTATAGCTTTAACTTAGAAATATCGTATGCGCAAATGTCAGTTTAATGCAAAATTGTCTTAAAATTATTTCGAGACGATTCATTGTGTCGTATCTTAAACAAATATGCGATTTGTAAACAAAAATAGAGTTTTTTCGCAGTTATAGATCAAGGTTAAAAAATATAATATAATCAAAAATACGCATAATTTTTGAAATCCGGGTACTGCTACCGATGTATGTATATTGATTTACCGTGGGTATACTTACGGATTTTTGTTTGAGCTCATATTCGGCGCGGTGCACGTTCAACAGGGGCGTTATCCTGACCAAAAGCCGCCACCAAGGCCAGTCCCTGACCACCATGAATTTCTTAACATTCCGCTGGATGCATCGTATGGCTATGTCGTTGACTTTGCGCTTGGCATAGTCCTTCCGGGCCAGATAACCGCGACACTGGGCTTGCAGCTGTATGACGATACCGGATAATTTTTCGTCTCGTTGAGATTCCAGTGTTTGCAAGACACCGGCTCGAAAAAATATCTACACCAAAACAACAAGTACGCAGTCAGTAAATATGAGTTTCGGAAAAAAAAAAATAGTATAACACAAATAACAGGTCGTTATATTGCAATGTACATATTATTATTGTATCATCACCGGCAAACCGCAAAGTACGTTCACATCGTATCCTAAACCGGCGGCCGCGTGCACCGAAAACGAGTTCACTTAACCGTGTAAATGCAAAAGTTCATCCTAATTAGAACGTTCAACAACACGCGGTAGGTTTTTTTTTTTTAAATAAACGAAAAACGTATAAAAAGAGATCCGTGGTTTGCATAACATTATTTTTATTATAATAAAAATGTGTTGAATTTGATTTGTTAATATGAAACGAATTTAAAATTATCATTATTATTGTTATTATTATTACTGCTGCACGACGACCATATTTTTTTGTCGACAACGTGTAATACGATTACAATGCGAAGACGAGACGGAGTGTAATAACTCCGAAACGCTTGTCGTGCATCATCGAAGTTAGACACGACTCTTGTTGTTTTACACTGTGTAATTTCTTAAATTAGGGTGACCAGACGTGATTATGTTTAGTATACACAAACTCTTAAAACGATCCGATCCGGAATACCTGACGGGTTCAAGTATAATTATTATTTAGACACTTGATCATATTTTATGAACTCGGGACTGTACTCGAACCATTTGATTTCTCAACGAGTTAAAATTACACTTTTAAACCATTTTTTATTTTACCGGTCAGAAAACTCTAAATATGTATCAAACCAATATGGGTGTACGTTTAGTTTAGACAGGCGTCCATGTGTATTGTATACAGTACGTCCCAAAAGTCGTATCATCCGAAAACCTACTCTAAACTTAAATTTAAGTGTTAGAATTTCCCTAACGGCCAGTATAGTTTAAAAAAAATATTGTCTCATTAAATTGCTTCTTAGCGAGAAATTTGACAAGTAAATATTCTGATTTTAACTTGGTTTAAGTTTCAACTACGAGGATTGTCATATTATGACTTATAGGTCTTACTGTGTGTATTTGTATAACATTATTATATAACTGTCAACTCGATGATCGATTTGCGCTGGCATATATAACAGCCGACTGTACAAAAATACAAAGACCAATAAACAAATCCAAAGAAAAGCGACCAGCCAAATTTAAACCCAATAGTAAATCGATAAAAGTAGTAATAACACGAATCCAAATTGGCTACTCGAAACCAATCTGTTCACACTTCTTTAACAATAAATGCATTTGTAAAGTCGGCAGAACAGATCTCAACACAATTATTGAATGCAACAAACACAATTCAGCCCACAATCGCTGGAACAACAGGACTACATTAAGAAACGCCCTTGAACCTGACCAAGAACACAATATAGTAATTATATTTCTTAGAGAAACCACTTCTTTAATCTTGATGTAACCGACTAATAATAATCAGTATGTCCATCCTAACGCGTAAAACCCCCAACAGTATTAACTTCAGGCTAATGAATTATAGTCGAGTCCTTTTATTTTCAAAATAATTGAAATATACATATAGGTTGTATCAACAACAGCCACTATGCTTTGATAATGACACGCATCACATGACTGATCAGAGCTTCATTGCATTATTTACTTATAAATTAGTTTGTAACATATATATTCCTCGGTCTTTATACTGAGCTGACGATGACTTTGGAAACTCCCGTTAGGAAGCACCATCGCCTTGACAACATGATATCGAAATGTTATAGATGATATAAATGTCACGACTAATTGCGACGGTGGCCGAGTCAAACGGTCCGGGAAGTAAAACTTATTATTCGACTCAGGCGCCCTATATTATGATTTATACATGCTTAACTATAAATTATAGTTTATATTATTGTCAATAATATTATAAACGCATAAAAATAAACATGTATAATGAAACGCCCGTAAACATCAATTTACCTTCCTCCTCCGATAACTAACTGCATAGAGCACCGTTACACGTACGTGTGTGTATAGGAAATATATAGAATAAAAATACATAATAATATACATACACACACACACACACACATATATATATATATATATATAGACATAATTTAGCGATACAAAATCTGTGAATAAATTATAAACGGCCGACGTTACCATGCGGGTACATGCGAGCAAACCAGTTTTATATTTTTGTAATATATATATATATATATAGATATTATTTTATTTTCTTCGGATTAATCCGATCGAAGACGCAGCCGCCAATGCCGATGACCTAACGGGAAATCGCATATTTCCTCTCCGACACGTGAATCAGACGAACCGACCATTTTTCACAGGATGACCGCGGCTAGTCGAGACGACGAAAATATCGAAATAGCAATTTGTGCGACCTCAAAGGCTTATAATACATTATGTAGAAATCGCGTTAGAGCTATTGATGATCTTTACTGGACCATTGCTAAATCCCTATGGTAATCCGATTTGTTTTTGTACGCGTAAGCAACGTGCTGAAAATAGAAACACTTTCAGAAACTAGTTTCGAACGTATGCGAGGCGGGGAAATTCGAATGTTGTTTTAAAATGCTTCTTAAGGATCATAAGCGTCGTTCTCCTCATACAATTATACGACTCCTTTAGCGGTCGACAGGGTAGCATAGTACAGCTCTTTTCATAGCCACCGCCGTTATAGCGCGATAGTAAGCCGTTACATAGCCGCCGGTAAGGAAATTAACGTTAAGGTCATATGTAGGTTTTTTAATTTTCGAAATCGATAAATCGCGTGACAGCAGTAAATATCCTCTGCGGCGACAACCCACAGGCTGTCCAATGTCAAGTTCATACTAGTTATTAGAAACGGGCCTACAGTAGACTCGTTTCGACACTATCGTTTATCCGTCCGATTCCCTATACAAAGCACACATACTTGCACACATCGGAGGTAATTATTAAAATATTTCCCTTGGGCGTTTCAAAAGAAATATGACTTGCCTAGCCGACGACGGTTACAACATAGCAACTTAATGGTCTGACATTTGTTTATAATCGATAAAACTTAATGTCAACTGGTTTGAAAAACTTCAGTCGTACGTGAGTTTTGACTATTCTCACGAAATAAAATGTCAACAATAAAAATCTAACACGGTTACCTTATCGTCTCCGTCGACCGTTTCTACGCTGTTCGGCTCGGTGGACGAACATTCGGGAATTGGCGACAAGTAACCGTTGGCGGCGGACGCGACGCCCGCGTTGCTGCAGAAATGACTGCGACGGGGCACGAACGCCTGCGGTGGCTGCTGCACGTCGACGTCTTGCGCCGGCTTTGCGCTGGTCAAAGCCGGACAAGCAGTCGTTGACAGTGTCGTAAAGGTGACCAGCCTTTCCAGCCTGTCTTCGGGACATGTGACGGTAACGACGTCACCGTCTCCGGCAAAACCGGAAGGCGGCGTGCAGACATCGTTGTGATCGTCTTCTTGGTCTGTGACGTCGCCGAAGACCCACGAATACGGGACGGCGGCGGCGGCGATGACGGTTTCTTCAACCGACTCGTAACCCGAGCTCACCGGCGACCCTGGTTTATCGATGGATACTTCCGCGAAGACGGCACCTGTTGTTCCCGAATCGACTTGGTCGCGATGATGGTGTCGCTGTTCGCAAATCGATTTTTCCGAGTCCGAAGAGCTGCTGGGATCGTCGGCAGACGACGACGAAGCGCTACTGTCGGCGACAAACGTCAGAGATTTAAAAAACACGGGTTTGTTACAAGCGGACATCATCAAGTCTTCTTCGGCACTGCCAAAGAGTTTTTCTTGTTTACGTTTAATCTCGTACTTGACGGGAGGTTTGACTGCACCGGATCCGGTCTTTCCAATAAATTTGGGTATACGAGTGACGCCGGCCCGGTGGTGGCCATGAGACGGCGCCGTCGGTAGTGATTTGGATGTCTGGAACTTTTCGGTTATCTTGGACACCGTGCCTTTGGCCACCAGCGAAGAGTCAGACCGTCGACGGCAACCGTTTCGGCCAGCGGCGGCGGCATCGGCCCGGCCGAGTAGCGCTCTCTTAGCCTCTCGCACGCGACCGCCGTCAGTCGAAGGAGGCATGGCGACCACCGTCAGCAACAGCAACAGAACGGGCCAAGCGATCCACTGGAACCACAGGGCCAACGACGACAGCAGCGCCTCTAACATATGAAGACCCGACCACACACCATCACTTCAAACGGGGTAAATGGACGACGGAACAATTCGGACAACAACGTGGACACCACACATCCGGTGCGTCCGGACCGACCGACATAACTGTCCGTCCACCGGCGACGTCTCTACGCATTCGATGCGGTCCGTTCACGCGGCGCGCATACATCGAAAACTGGTTTCGCGCCCGAACGACGACCTTCGTCATCAATAATAATATAAGCGTCGCGGGCCTACAGCAATGGTGTGCCCAAGCATAATCACTAGAACGTACCGCATACATTCAATAATAATAACAACAATCGTCATGCCAAAAAAAAAAACGTGACATTCCTCTCCTCTAATACTACTACCACCGTTCAATACATAAACTATTCATATATTATGTACGAACCCTAAAACTCTATACGGTGGATTAGTAATTATTTTTTTTTAAGTATAGAAAGTTGTGTTCATATATACGTCCGTAAAACTGGCAAAGTTTGAAAGTAAAAAAATGCGTAGCATGAGCATATAAGCGCTACTATGCGAAGAACAGATAAGACGATCTTATAAACGACAATGTTTTTCTAGTTATTCGACATATTTTGATGAATTAAGAATGTCCAGAAAGAGGAATTACATTTTATTAAGCACCCCCATGAATAGTTTTTCTTTAAACAATTAATTTATGTCAGTAATTAATAATCTTACAATAGTATATTGCGCAAAACGCAATCAACTTTTAATAACCTGGTCGCAAACACTTTTTTTGCAACCTAAATCTCAAAGTTTGGAAATTACACAACTCGCATATTATCTTTCAAATGACTCTCGAGCGCCTAGTGCAATCTCACT